CATCTTTCTCTTATCATCAACTGTCTTATTTGGGACATTTTTACCTCTTATGAAAAGCTCATAAGATAACTCTCCTGATTTCAAATGATTAACCTGAGTGGACTTCATTTTTCAAAAATTGGATGAAAACAAACACACAAAATAACTAAAATCAACTTCAACAACTGGTAGAAAATATGACAATTTTAAGAAACAACCGTTTCCATTTATCACCTGATAGTAAGTCTCACTTGCACTCCCGCGTACTGAAATCCAAAACTCAATCAGTTTGCTGCAACTTCTGCTCTTGACTTAGTAATCAGTTGGTAAACAAAAAATGAGGTCTTTAACCTGTCTCCTAAAAGTTCACACTTCCACTAACAAGGACTAAAAAAATGGTTTCAAACAACATGGGACAACATGGACACTAACAAACAACATAAACCGTACATACAAGGAAAGACAAAATACTAATAATATTGAAAACTTGACTTTTGAGTGAGCTACACTAAATAACACCAAAATAAACCAACTCTTGTTCCGAAAACTAAATGAGACTGCTCCTAGTCAAAACTAAAACAGCATCTCCTGATCACAAATATTACACCTGTGGTCATTCAGATACAAGAAAGGATACACAATAAACAAACAGTCTATTACTGAGACTAAACTTGTCGAATCTCTCTAGGACTCACAATGACTATTCCTAGTACAACAACATTAATTAACCCTTGGCATTTAAACACACCTTCAGAGACGGTTAATTAGAAGACAAACTGCATAATACTACTTCTCAACTACATAGCTCAAAAGTCACTCAAACAAATACACACATTTACTCAAAATGACCCAACAAATAAAAAATTACAAAAACCGATTATTCTGTAAAATTTGTCGAATCAATAAAAAAAAAAATGTAACAGTAACTCTATAATTTGCTACTGTTTTTAATTTCTTTTCAATATCAATAGTTTAATAAAAATTCATATTTAAATATTCAACTCAAATATTTGCTTTCATTTACCATTACATATACGAAGAACAATACATATGTCACTATAAGTACATTACCTGAAAAAACAACAATACATAATGTTGGTACAAAAAACATACATTGTAATACAAATATACTACTGTTTGTGAGACACTTTGGCGCACTATTCAAAAGGAAAAAAGTTTCATATAAATGGCAGGGAACTGGGGAAACTGAAAAAGATATGTGGCTTCAGGAAAAGGATCAAAAATCTAAAAATCGCCCCACGCTATGGGCGTCAAAATTGTAACGACTAATTTGCTTACCACAGGGTAAGAATATGGGGGACAAGATTGGGCAAACAAAATAATCGAAACAAGTGCATACGACACTCAGTTGGTTGTTGGAGAGCTGGGTCGTGAATAAGTTGAAGATATTGGGGGTTAGATTGGGGCAACTACAAAAAAGGAAATAAAGGGGTACTTATACAAATCTTTTGGGACAAACAGAATGAAAATAAACGGAAACACCTCAAGAAATTTAATATAGGGCGCCACTTGAGGTGCCCAATTATACCTATTACAACCACTAGTTGTAACTAGGGAAATAATTGTATAACATCAAAAATATAGAAAAAAAAAATATCTTTTTCAAATAAAACTCAAAATAGATCAGAGAAACAAATTAAACATTTATTTTTGTCTCACCAAACAGTTTTCAAAAATACAGCTTATACAAAGGCATATTAAATAAAATTAGCTGTCAAATACAAATGAAAAAAACTTACATATCTGTTTACAAAAGGTTACAAAACTCTTCGAAACGGTTCTTAGTAAATAATTTAAAAAATAATTTATAAAAGAAAGCAAATTTTGTCTTTTTAAAAGAAAATGTCTATTTTTACTTTAAAAATTAATAACGTAAATGTTACCTCAGTTCACACATCTTAACTTAAACTTTTGAACAACTGGCTAACTTCTGCGGGGTATCTAACTGCACATCAACGAAAAGCTTTATTGGAAGCTGAAACTGGCACATCCAAATCAAAACTGCTCCAATATTATTCTACATGAGGTGAAAAGGGCATCTCGGGAAGGAACTGGATTTCTCAAAAAAACGAAAAACAAACAGGAACTAAACTTGTTCACTGCTCAAACATCATAAATCTTCAGCCAAAATAAAAACAGTAGTTACTGGTCACTCTTTCAGAAACGACATATTACTTAGAGTGAAAATTCCACCATTTTGGCGAATGAATGCCGGCTTACAACATCACAATTAAACGACTTTTTTCTTCGAGAAGTTCTTCATCACTTCCTCTCAAATCTTTTACTCCATTCCCACATGTCTGCCCCGCTTGGAACTTAAATCTCGACTCCTCTTCAAATCAAATCTTGGTCTCAATTGTCCATGTCTGCCCCGTTTGGAACTCAAATCTCGACTCTTATCACATGTCTGCCCCGCTTGGAACTTAAAAATCGACTCCTTTTCAAATCAAATCTTGGTCTCAATTGTCCATGTCTGCCCCCGAACGACTCCTCCTTCGTTACATTTTACAAGAAACTCGCCAAAAATTTCCCTTCCGTCTTGCAGCTAACCTGTCCCTACAAACTCAAGAACCAAAACTAATATTCCCTCCTCTTATCGACAAAAAAAAACAACTTTTAAATGTTCCTTTATTGCCTAAACAAACAAATATTCCTTCTTTTGACCCTCGACTAATAACGAAAAACAACTTTAATATTAGGGGAATTCATGGTTTATTGCGTTTTAACATAGAAAACAAATAAAACCTTTTTTTTATCAGGGGGCATCATAAATTTACATAATACAAATTAACAAAATACGTGCGTATTTTAAACTTGAGTTTTACCTGGCTTATAACAAAAGGTTCGATATTTGAATCTAAACACAGACAAAAAAACATCTATATTTACTTTTGAATCGGTAGAAATATACGCATTTAAAAATCTCGTCAAAAAAACTTGAAATATTATTTCGATTGTTTTCTTTGGTAAAAACAACAGGAGCGTAACACAGAAATCTTTTCTATACACTTTAAATAAAAAAACGCTACAAATTGATGTACATTATAACCTCGGAAACCTTTTTTGGATGGTGCTAGAAAGGTCACCAATGGAGACACTGCGGACGGCAGCCAGATGGTTGGTGGAGAGCGAGTCGTGGGTTCAAAACTAGCTTTTGGAACCGGGAATGGATCCAACGGACAAAATAAGTAAAGATAGGATAAGAGATATTAGAAGAGATACAGAAATAAACAGAAAGATAGATGGGTAAAATTACCAAAGATACGATAAGATAGAAACAAGGCGCCACTTAATGTTTAAGGGTTTAAGGAGAAAATTAAGAAACCTTAGAAAAGAAAGGAGATAAGGAAAGATATTTTGGTTTAGAACCCAAACCCAAGAGAGGATATTAACAGTTAATTATTAAATAAATTTGGTCTACAAACTATATAAACAAATAATAAATATATTAGGTATTACACCTCTTTACCTACAAAATTTAATTAACCTGATCATTCTCCAGGTCAAAGGTATAGTAATAATTGAAGGTAAAGAGCAAATATTCAGAGTTATTGTTATATCAGGAAACTTGTTAGGAGTCGACAAATAAAATTCATACATAAAACAAAAACAATATATTCAACAACACAATAATATAGGCGGCTGAATGTACACACAAGTAATAAAAATGCACTATCAATTGATCAATGGTTGTATACATATAAAAATAAGCAGTAATATGAATAATAAGTACCTTAACAAATACAACAATATAATAATGCGCAGGTTCAATTATCAGTGAAGAGAGCCTGATAGTGAGTAAGAAAAAAAACACAAATATACAAGTGTATACACACTTAGAAAGAAAATGCACAGAGACGTTAAGGTACGGTAATCTAGACACGCGGCCTCCCTCAAGAATCGCCATACGAGAAGTAACTTCTTCTTCTTCTACGGCACTACAGCCCAAAATGAGCCTTGGCCTCCTTTATTTTTTGCCTCCACCCTTGTCTGTCTGTGGCTGCTCTTCTCCATACACGGACTCCTAAAAGTGCTTGTGCGTCGCTGCTTACTGTGTCTTCCCAGCGCTTTCTTGGCTTTCCAACTGGTCTCTTTCCCTGCATTCTGGCGTTCAGTGCTCGTTTTGGTAGCCTATCCTCTCCCATTCGTATCACATGTCCGGCCCATTGCAATCTTTGTATTCTAAGAGAAGTAACTTGGTTCCTCTAAAATTTTACCAAACTATCGAAGAAAGGTGGGATATCTCCCCCTCAAAAACGACAGATCAGCCTGTATTATTTCTAAGAAGATAAAAATATTCTAACGACATCGAACATAACGGTACTCTTCTAGTTAGAAACGTAAGAAAAATAGAATCTTTTAGATTAGGTCTTTACAGAAGAATTTCTATAGACGTGCTTTCGACGATATTCAACAAATACATTAAAAGGAACAGATGCTAAACCGGAAAGAGGTTAACTAAGGATTAACCAAACTAGCGTCTCTAAACAAGCAGGTAGATTTTTCCGCAATATTTCGGCAGTTTCCAATAAAAATTAACAATCCATTTGCGAACACGACCATGGGCGTATCAGCAACGGAGGTAAAGGGAATAAAAATAATTAATATTTTAATTATATAAAAAAATGTTACAACATATTTCTTCAGATAGGAGATCAACCAAATTGGTAATGTTAATCCCGGGGAGGAGTTAATGCACGTCCAAAGTAATCTGTTAAGGTAAAAAATGACGTAAACAAACTTAATACAGTCATGAAAGTAATTGTTATTGTCATAAAATATGTTAATATTATATTTATTTATATATCTTAATATATTTAGTTTTAATTTACTGTTTTTTCGTGAAAATTAATCTAGTCAATGTCACGAAATCATGACCAAAATTTATGGCTTAAAACTATAAAAATTCAGCTGTATGAGTATATAAAGCTAAATTTCAGTCCAATAGTTACTTTTGAGTTTCCGAGACCAATATACACAAAACTTTGGTAGATATAATGATGGGTCGAAACTTGAATATTGCATGGCTTGTTTGTATTTTTTTACTAAAATGTAACTTTGTCGATGCAGGTAAGTAGTATTTATTTAAAATTAAAATATTTATCGTGATATTATTTTAAATGACAGCATTTTTCTTCTCTGATTTCAACTATTTATTAGAAAAAAATCTGTCTTGTGTTTTCAATGAAATAAGTCTACAATAGTAAGTTTATTTGAGCCATTAATACTGAACGGTGGGAATTTTTATGGTGTATTTTCCGACAGTGAATATGTCCAAATAATCCCAAGCTGAGCGAACGGACTTATCTCTACTCATACTTAATCCTGTCGTTTTGTTATTTTTTAATTTTTTGTTTGTAGCACTTCTCCGTTTATTAGGGATTGGTGGGTGAGTGGCTTTTATTGACGTCAAACCCGCTGATGGGCGTTAAGTCTCTTTCCCACGGATTCTTAAAATAGAGTTTTTTTCACGAACATATCGACGTATCTTTCTTAAACATTATAGCTGATTTTTTTCTTGCCTTTGGAACTGTATGTATGTGTACACATTTAAAAATAATGTCGATAAAAAGTAAAATCTGTTCTTCTTTTTCAAGTTCCACTCCTATCGAAGATTAGAGATCATTCTAGTAATTCTAATTTTGTTGGTTACGCACCTGAATAGTTCAATTGAACTGCATCCAAACCATTCACGGAGATTGCGTAGCCACGAGATTTTACGTCTTCCTACGCTTCTTCTGCTTTTGATTTTACCCTGCATTATATTCCTTAGTAGTTTGTATTTTTCACCTCTCATGATGTGCCCCAAGTATCCCAATTTTCTGATTTTTATGGAATTTAAAACTTCGCATTGTTTTCCTAGTTGTTGGAGAACTTGTTCGTTTGCTTTGCATGATCCATCCATGATATTTTCAAAATATGTCGGTAACACCACATTTCAAATGCATCTAGGTTTTTTATGTTGGATTTTTTAAGTGTCAAAGCTTCAACCCTATACAAAACTGTAGAGAAAATATAACATGGAAGCATTCTTATCCGGAGCTATATACTGATATCGCGATTACAAAAAAGTTTTCTCATTCCATTGAAAGTTGACCGTGCAATTTTAATGCGGTATCTTATTTCTTTTGTGTGATCAGTATCTTCTGTGATCCATGCCTCAAGGTATTTGTACGAAGATATTTGTTCAATTTCTGTATTATCTAGTACTAGCTTAATTTTGATGTTTTGTGCTTTTGTAAATACCATGAACTTGGTTTTCTTTAAATTTTTTTTAGTCCATAATCGTTGCAATATATATTTAGTTGTTCAGCAAGGTGTTGCAGTATTCCTGCCAGAAGTACGGTGTCGTCAGCATATCTTATGTTATTAAGTGGCTCGCCGTTTATTAGAGATGGTTCACTATATAAATTGAATAACAAGGGTGATAAAATACACCCTTGGCGGACCCCACGGCGAATCTGGATATCCTCGGTCAGTTCATTTTCAACTGTCGCTTTTGCTGTTTGGTTCCAATAGAGGTTACATATGATTCTAATGTCTCTACTGTCTATGTTTTTATTTAATAAAATTTCATTAAGCCGATTCTACTGCACTCTGTCAAATGCCTTCTCAAAATCAATGAAACAGGCATATACTTCCTGATTAATATCTAAGCATCTCTGCGAAAGAACACTTACTGCAAACAGTGCATTTCGTGTTCCCAGTCCTTTCCTAAATCCCATTTATGTATTACTTACGCCTTCATCTAATTTCTTATGTATTCTATTGTGAATTACTTTTAAAAACAATTTCAAGACATGACTCATTAAGGCTATAGTGCGATGTTCATTCCACTCCTTTGCATTGGCTTTTTTTGAAAGCAGTATGAATGTCGATTGGAGCCATTCTTTAGGTATTATACCTGTTCTATATATGGTATTGAATAGAACCAAAAGAAGATCAATAGATTTAGTATTCACAAGTTTGAGTAATTGGATAGGAACGTCATCAGGGCCGGGAGATTTACCACCTTTAGCTTGTTTCATTGACATTCTAGACGGATCTCGTCGTGGTCAATCATGAATCCGTTATTTTACATAGCGCGCCCAACATTACTAAGTATCAGATCTTATAAAGGGGAAACACTTGACCGGCAATGTTAAATACAGAAATTATAATGTACCGAAGCCCAATTTAAATTTTAGTGCTAATGGAAGGACTGGGATATATGCTGGATTACATCTAATAAATAGTTTGGATGTGATCTTGTAATTATTTTTACATTATTTTAAATTTGTTGTGACGTATTCTATTATCTTTAAAGCTAAATAATTTATCCTACTTTTGTCTAACTTTTTCATCATAATATGTATTTACTTCATACTTGTATAATTTGCTGGTATTTTCAGGAAAGCGTTTTCGAATTTTTGGTGGAAAGGAGACCCGCATAGAGAATCATCCATGGATGGTTTCACTTATAGTTCCTGATATTGGTCACAACTGCGGTGGGTCTCTTATAAATGAAGACACGGTCCTAACAGCAGCACATTGTGTTGAAAAGTAAGTTAAATAAAATTGTGAACAATTGCATGAACAAAAGACAATATATAACTTGTTTTGTATAAAGCTTAGAGATGACTGGTTAAATGAATTTAGAAATAATAATGGAGAAAGAATGGCATATTTTCACTGTAAATAATTTAGCGAAAAATAGCAAATAAAACTGAAATAAATTACGAAATTAACTGGTCTTAACTCATACTGTTACCTGTACAAAGAATGTAGGCTTACCTTTTGAAATATTCATGAATTTCGTAGTAGGCAGAAATTGGTCGCGGTGCGTCACGACTCCATCCGAGGCATAAAAGCAGGGACGTCCCGTGCTTACTGTTCGCTGTTTCGACGATGAAGTGTAAGTGTCGTTTTAAGGCTTAAGAGAGTCAGAAAGAACCCTCTAACCGTTACGTGGTGGTCCGTATACCAAGAAGGTGTACAATAAATCACTCTATTGTATTACGATTTTAAATGGCGATACTTTAAGTTAATTGTCACGGTAATACGATACTTTAGAAATTTTGTATGTATTGGCGACATAAAATAACAAATGAGAAAGTCAAATTCTCCGTACTTAAAACCAGACATGTGTTTAAGTCAGTTTAACAATTTTACGAGATTTTACGAAACAACCGGAAACAATATATTTTAAAGCAAAGTCGTTAGAATATACCATTAAATCAGAGCATATTATAGTAAAGTAAAAGTAAGTAAAAAAAAAACTACAAAAATTTGAAAACAAACACGACATACTTTCCTAAATATAACTTATAAAAATACTTACTAGCTCTATAAATCTATTTCCGAGGGATGTCTGATAGTCCGGTAAATGAACGTGAAATACGGCGATTTTTTCATTGAAACTATAAAACAATTACTTTTTGATCAAAATGTTACGAATCCATTTTATTTTAACTTAAACAACCCCTATTAGTTTGTAAGGGTCCATGAAAGTATTTCTATGCCTTAATAGCTCATTATGGTTATCTTACGATACTAGTATATGTTTTCTGACATCTCCTGATTAGTTTTTTATGTGATTGGTTTTTTATATTGTTCTGAAGCTATTTTCTTGTGGCATTGTAAATTAATTACCATTTAACTGGGAATAAGCAACAATTAAAGATAAAAATACGTTTATTGACGTTTCAATTTCCACTTCGTAAATCGTTCTCAAAATACAAACAGTAAATTAAACAAATTTTGTTTTTTGTTACATAGTGAAAAATTCTTCTAATAATTTAATTTTATTTGACTCATTTATATTGACAATTCAGACATACATTATGCATTTTAAAGTAGACGACTTTAAAATGATATTGCCAATATTGTTGAGTTGCGCTCCTGGGACGACTTTACTTATAAGATAGTTCATTCGATTACATTAAATCAACTTTAACTTGAGAATATCCGTCAGAAAAAAATCATAGCATGTAATTCGTCTTTTAAAAGACAAACACATGACATGATGACAGTAAAATTCTCCTGTTATTTATATTTATATTTATCTTTAAGTTTATTATTAATTTAAGTTAATTGTGTACAATAACTTAATGGGTAACGTAAATAATATAATATGTGTAATAATTTAAAATTGTAAACAGTGAAGCAGTATACAACATTTCTTGTTTTATATGTGAAAAATATTTAGAATGTGACAGTGAGTTAAAGTTCTATTTGTTAACCGTGGAATCGATACATTAAACAAAATAAGTTTAGAAAGAAAAGATGATAGCTTCTAAGATTAACTCAGACTTTTTTAACCCAATGTTTTATCTGCAACTGTAAAAGTGTTGGTAAGAAACTTTGCAGCTGTAGACAGTCTGAATTAGTTTGTTCAGTTGCACGAGGAAGTTCTCTGGAACTGGTAATTGTACAAATTATAAAAAAGAATATCATACTTTCTAATAATGAAGAGAATACACCATATGATCCCTGCCAATAAATTCAAAATATTAACTTTGGAAATGACTCTATTGAAAATAGGATAGATTCAGAAGCTAATTTTACATCGGATGAAGAAGATTGTGATTGTGAAAAATAATTTTTAATTTTTTATAGATGGATAATCATTTATCGCATTTATTTTTCTCATATTCATCTTATTTTAACCCTATTTTAAGTCCTTTCTGGATTTATAAATAAACTAAATTATATGTATGTATATATAATTTTAGTATAATTTAGTAATATAAACTAAATTATATAATGTATACGAAAGAGATAATTTCATAATTATACATAACTTAAACTATGAACATAAAAAATTTACTTAATATTCAGTAGAAGCTGCTTAAAAAATTTTTAATGTGAAAAATAATTGTTTTTTATTTGTTTATATATTTAAAAATTTTTTAATTAAAAAGTTTTTAATTCACTATAACAATAATTTTCATCACATTTGAGGTATTTTATATTATTGACCTAATAATTAAATAAATAAAAAATTTTAAATATTATTTTCGTTGTGTGCGCGCGCAACTATACTAAAACAATTTTTAATTGAAGGTGATTACTTGGCAACATCGCACTTAACGATAACTTTTCAACGAAATCATATTCCACTTATCAATTTTTGTCAGAGGCGTACCAAAAATTTTTTTTTTATTTATTTAAACACATAAGTAATTACGTAAAAATTAAATCTAAGACCGATATAATTATTAAATTACCATGTGTCTTTTAACAGGTATCTTGTAGTTGTCTAACAAAATAAAGTAAAATTGTATTCTTATTAGAGAGTTCCTAATACAGATCTTCAAAAAACAGAAAACTTTGGAAAATACTTAATTTTTTTCATTAGACCAAAAACAATCTGAAATTTTAACATACGATCTCGAAATTACACATCATTCCCTATTTATAGAATTGCTGTGTGCTATAAACGTTATATTTGTTTTTTAACTTAATTTGAAAATTTCCTTGTGTTTATTTGTTTATATAAATATAAAAATATATTATGAAGTTCATATAAATTAAAATGAAGTAAGCTAAACTATTATCATATGAATGCGTTTATAAGTGCATTTGTTTATTTCAGTAAATTCTCGAAATATGAAATGAAGATGACATTAACTACTAAAGAAATAATATAGCTTTGTTAGAAAATGATTCAGAATGTGAAAATGCTGACTAACTTAATGTGGTTTATTTGTTAGGTTAGCAAGTTTCTGGTGTAGAATACATTGATGATAATATTAATTGTGAATGATCAATAAAACTCGGATATTGTAGGTACATGTGAAATACAAGTGATTAGGAATTCTGACGATTCTGATTATGATATTCCTCTGAAATACAGATAAAACGTCCAAAGAAAACACCAGGCAAAAATAGTAAATCTAAATTCGTCTCAAGTTCCACCAACAGATACACATTCGTGCTCAGTAATAATTCAACATCAGTCTGATTGATATTTAGACAATATAAAAGCCAACCATGGAGGCAAGTCATATATTGAAGTTTTTTCACTCTTTTTTGATAAAAAAGTAATTGAGAGCATTGTATATTTTACAAATATTTATGCATCCCAGAATAACCGTCACGATTTTAAAATAAATAACATAGATTAAAAAAATATTTGGCATATGTATATTATCTGGTTTACACTCTGCGTCAAGTTGATATGCATTGGTCAAAGGATGAGAATAAAGAAGCGCCCATTATAAGAGAAAGCATAAGCCGACATAGATTTATATTTATAATTGATAATAGTGAAAAAACCGCTACATCAGTGTCAAACTTAGAACATGGACGTCAATCTAAATTTGCTTTACCGGATGAAATTTGATACTAGACAATATTGACCACATTACAAAAAAAAAACGATAGTGCAAAAATGTACGATGTGAAAAAGTAATACTATTTATTTGTGTAAAATGTGTAGAATACACCCCGAATGTTTCGAAAATTTTCACCTTAAAATTTACATTTAAAATATAATATGTTCCTTTATTAAAAATTGAACTGTTTTCCTTGAAAATGAGAAAAAACTCTTTTTGTTTGTAGTCTTAATTTAAATATTTTTAATTCAATCTAATAAATTAATTGTCAAATTTCTCTTTGTATATTGAGCGGCCGTTAATGGGTTAATACTATATAAAGAATAAACTTGCCTCAAATTTACTTTACTTACCTCAAAACTATTTTAAGGTTAATAATAAAGTCTATTTCATAAATATATTCCCAAGAAATAAAAAACACTACGCCTACGCACATATGTAATGCTGAAGGAATAATAATCATCATAATCAACTAGCCTCTAACGTCCACTGCTGGACATAGGCCTCTCGCATGCTTTTCCACTTAGTCCGATTTTGCGCCATCTGAATCCAATTTGTAGTCACTCTTTTTATGTCATCTGTCAATCTCGTTGGGGGTCGACCTCTATTTCTGTAAGCTTGTATTCGGGGCCTCCATTCCAAAATTATTTTTGTCCACCGGTCATCAACCATAACAATCACCCACCATTACCTTCCCTAATATCCACTCAAAAATTATTAACCAAACCACACCTACATCACCACATCACAAAATCTTACATACTCCAATTTACAACACACCCTACTCTCCCAACCACCCCACCAAACACACCCAATCACAAACCTCCCCAATACTAAACACCAATAATAACAATATCTCTAAACTTTAAAATTCCACCTACTCTCTCCACAATTACCAACACACCACCTACCACCACTTCGTCACTCAACCCACAACCACAACAACATCCCATCAACTTTCCACAACTCACACCACCAACAACACCAACCCCCATCCACCCCCACACTATACCCACCACCCCACACCTCACTCACATCCATTACAACCCACCAAACACCACACCTCCCACATCCCCCCCCCTCCACGCACGCCCCACCCCCCTCTCACCTACACAACTACACAACATCCTTCACCAAGACACTAATATGCCCACCCGAGCATACCCCCCCCCCTATCGCAATCCACCCCACCAACACCCCCCCCACCACACACACGCATATCACCCCTCCCCCAACCTACAAAACACTTGCTCCAACGCATCATCCATCGACGCTACACATCCCCCCCCACACTCCCCTCACACTCACTCTATCTACGATAACCTTAAAACTAATATTCCACCCAAATACAACCAATATAAAAATCCCCCCCAAACAAAACCTCCCCCTCCCCCCAAAAAAAAACTTCCCCTCCCCCACATATACACCAATTCCTCCCACCCCCCCCCCCCCCACCCACCTCACACCCCCCTCATACCTAATTCCAACCCCACCTAAAACACAAAACCACCAACCAAACAAAAACTCACCACACACCCCACAATACCATCCACCCAAATATTAAAAACACTTTAAACTATTTAATCTCACACCACATCACATCCCAAGATAGACACACCAAACTCACTCTCGCTCGACACTCAGCACCCCCCAAAAATCAATAACCGTTTTCCCAAACTCTAACTAATTTACACAACTTACCAATTTCGTACAGCATAACAATATAAAAACTGACCCCGCCTTTAAATCTTATACTAAATAACCAACACCCCACCCATCCGTACACCCCCTCTTCTTACCAATTCCCCCAACCCCCACCTCAACTCTCCCTTCCCCCCCCCCCCGACTGCCTTCCCCGTCCCCCCCCACCCCACCTCCCCCCCTCTCCCCCCGCGAGCTACTCTATCGACACAAGATCCGTCTATTAAGAGAGAGAGATGTAACATTTTACATTTTACCGTTTAGTTCAATTTGTAGATTAGTCACCTTTAATTAAAAATTGTCCGACAGAAGTCTATACCTTAGAAATTATTGGAACTATAAAAACGTTTTTAGACAAATTTTTAAGGTTATGCCATAACTTTTTTTAAATATTTTACGAAATACAGACCAGTATATGAAAACATAAAGTCCCTCTATTTGCAAAATGGAGGTACTTTAGGATTGTAAACTTTATCTTTAATAATAATCATTTTCAGCTATCTATTCTCAAATTTTCGTCCTCGATTTATTTTTTTGGGTTTTGGCAAAATTTTGTCTTCATTGATCGGTCTAAATAGAGTCCATAAACTTCTGTCTCTATTTGACATAATGTAATATTCATGTAACTTTTAGATCAGTAGAACCAGTATCTGTTGTTGTTGGAACTTCCTATTGGGCCGATTCAGGTACTACCATAAGGATTAAAAATATATCAAGCCATGAGAAATATTCGTTTAATATAATTTTTGGAGCTATTAATGATATCGCAATTATTAAGGTATGTATAAATATATAATTTTTATTTACGGATGTTCCTTTATCTACTGGTTTATAGCCCAGGGAAATAAGCTATTTTTCGTGAAACTGGTCCGTTCAGGCAACCGACAGTTGATTTAAGTAGTATGACCCTCTATAACAAGAACCTGTATGTTTCCTGCAGACGATTTTTTGGACTTAATTATTAACAAATTAAGGACAAAAAACGGTAAATTTTCGCTTTTTTCGTCTATCAGTAAAAAGTAAAGCGTTTAAAACAAATTTTTTTATAAGTAAAAAACTTACATGCCAAATTATTTTACAATATTTAAAATTATTTTTCTTTTTTTTTTAAATATTAATAGAATTCTATCTTCATTTATATTCAATACACTCAAGTTTTGTAAGTAGAAATATTTTAGAAATTAAGTAGAAGTCATTTTTCATTTAGATGTTCTACTTCTTTCAGTTCTGAGATTCTGATAAGCTACTCTATCTTCTATCGATTTCCATTTATTAGAATGCCCCTCTGTTATCATTGCTGTCCTCTCTCGACTAATGTTGATCATTATTTTTGCTCTAACCAACCGATGGCCACTCCCAACAGTGATTTTATTAATTACTGTAACATCTTGGACAATATTTTTTCTGTTTGTGATGATGAAATCAATTTCGTTTTTTGTTATGCCATCTAGACTAGCCCACGTCCACTTACGTTGTTGATTCTTTTTGAAAAATGTTTTCATCACATAGAGCCGATGATGCAACAAAAAATGTAGTCACACCTCCTCTATCATTTCGCTCATCGTATCCAAATGAGCCCATAGCCACTTCTGCGTTATCTTCTTTAAATCCAAGTTAAGCGTTAAAATCGCCCATTAAGATTAGGTGGTGGGTATTATCTTTTTCTATAGCCCTATTTATATCTTCATAAAAGTTTTCGATTTCTTTACCGCTATGGCTTATCGTGGGTGTATATACTTGGATAATTTTAACAGAGCGTCTCCCGTTCAGTTTTAATATGAGATACACAACTCTTGAGCTTACACACTCTATTTTTATAATTTGATCTAGATGTCTCTTTTGCACGAGAAAGCCTACGCCGCCAACTGCCTTATCGTTTTCTCCAATGGAATGTAGCAGATGCCCTGATTTTAAAACTAATTGGTTTTCTCCTTTTCTTCCTATTTCGGAAAGTCCCAATACATCCCATTTTATGCAGTTAAGTTCTTCCTGTAGTTCAATGAATGTATCTTCAGTTGCAAGCATTCTTGCGTTATAAGTGGCAATATGCAATGTTCGTTGTCCATGGTAGCCGTGTCTATCCCGGTGATTCTTTGCACCCTCTGCCCTTGGTCGAATCTGGTGGCTACCATCACCAGGGACCGTTGGGCCGCCGGGGACTAAGGGCCTTTTTCTAGTTTGTGTTATGTCATTTATGGGAAAAGTTAGCCATTTCACTACCACGCTGGCCAGTGCGGGTTGGTAGCGGGATATATCGGGATTGGAAAATGGGTAGGAAGGTAGGTTGGGGACCTGGCCTTTCCTAAAGACTTGGACATAGGAGAAAGTCAATCGTTAGCGTACGGCAGGGACGCTAGCTTAAGTTCTTACTTTTTTTATTATTTCATCCATAATTAACCTAATTATGGATGAAATAATAAAAAAAGTAAGAACTAAAAAAGAATACCAAATGGAAGAAAATCAAGGTGAAGATAATTTACAACTTATGCTACACCAATTTAATATAACCGCCAGAAAATTTAACATGTTAATTTCCCCAAAAAGGACAGAATGCATGGTTACTACAGCAAATTTACTAAGATGTAAATTGGAGCTGAAAAGTGAGATAATAGAACAAGTGATGGAGTTTAAATATCTAGGCATTACATTATCTAGCTACGAAAAGCTCGAAACCGAAGTGGAAGATCAAGTGAATACAGTAAACATAGCCGCAGGCTGCCTAAATGAAACAATATGGAGAAATAAGAATATAGGGGAAGAAACGAATGGCAGAATTTACAAAATAGTCATCAGACCAATAATGACATATGCGACAGAAACAAGACCTGACACAAAGAGGACAAAAAGGATGTTAGAAACAGCAGAGATGAAAACACTTGAAAAAATTGATGGTAAGACACTATGGGACAGAGCTTAAGTACAGGTATACGACAAAGATGCAAGGGGGAGAACATTAAAAACTGGGTAAGAAATATAAGAGTATAATGGAACGATCATATAAGCCGAATGACAACAAATAGAGTAGTAAAGACGGCAAGAGACGGTTCCATAATAGGAAGACAACGAAAACGATGGAATGAAAAACTTACTGGAGGCACATTGAAAAACAGACAGAGTCATGTCTATATAAAAAGAAGATGAAGAAGAAGTTTTTAGGATACTGTGATCACGGATTACTTTGTTAATAATAAATTATGTACTCACAGATCTTATTTCTTCCATGCACAATGAACTAACACTATACCTAACACTGTATGTTAGTATAACACTGAATTTTACGATTGTTACTATATTTTAAATTTCTCAATTTGTCTGTATCGATCAGAATAGTGTGTATGCTTAACCGATATCGGCGACGGACTTTATTCTTTCGTTCTGTAAAGCATTTATTATTGGTCAATGTTCTACTGTATCGAATATTTTCTTAAAATTCACGAATGCAACATATAAGGGTATGTAATATTTACTAGCTTATTCGAGAATTAGTTTCATAGTAAAGTTATAATTGTTTGAAAAGATAGTTGTTTAATTGTGAAGTGCACCCCTTTGTTAATATTTTAGTTAGTGGTTTTAGAAAACGTTCAGTGGTGTAATGGATTTATAGTGCAATATTTGTATTCATTTTAACTAATAATAATGTCACTGCTTCGTTCCAGCAGTATATTTTTCTCTGTAGGAATTTTATTCATTATATTGTACAATACTTCAACATTTCTCCTCCATCGCATCGTTTAATATCTCCACGGTTATGCCATCTTTGGTAGGTATTTTATTATTCTACATTTTTTTCCAGCGCTTTTCCAATTGTAAGCTTAATGATATCTGGTCTAGTTCTGAGTTTATTTTTTTTTTCATTTTATTTTTTCAGGTACATTGATAGACTAATTGTTTAAGAAAATTATCTAATTGATAGCTTTTGTTTGGAACTAACATCATTTTATTCTAAACATGAAATTTACTGATTTCTTTAAATTTCATATAAATTTTAGTTAGCAGAGAAAGTAAAGTACTCCGACAAAATTAAGCCCATAAATCTACCAGAAGAAGGTCTTAAAGTAACAGAAGGGACTTCAGCTGTAGTTGCAGGCTGGGGAAGAACTGAGGTAAATATAGAACTATCTAAATTAATAGAAAAACAATATATTAACGGAAATTTAATAACAACTTTTAAATGTAGAATAGCTGGTTGCATTATATATCTAACTGTGCCATTAAATTTGCAGTCCTAATCCACGTTAACATCGTCAAGTCGTCTGCACAACCTTTTTCTCGTCTTTACAAGGTCTGAAATCTGGAAAATACATCTTAGTCCATGACGCTGCCTGAGTTTAGTGCAGAATTCATTCTTTGTAGTCCTGATTTATAGTTCCTGAGGTACTTTAAAATACCCTCTCGTCACCAAGTCTACGCTTATCCAATTTCACAAGATAGGAAATAAGACACTCACCTTCGGACAGCCTCTGGCTACTTGTGCTGAAACGGTATTTCCCATTACTTACTATTTAACTGGGAATAAGACACAATTAAAGATAAAAATATGTTTATTGACGTTTCAATTTCCACTTCGGAAATCATTCTTAAAATACAAACAGTAAATTAAACAAATTTTGTTTTTTGTTACATAGTGAAAAATTCTTCGAATAATTTAATTTTATCTGACTCATTTATATTTATATATCCAATGAGGATACATCATTTATGTTTTTTAAAAAACGAAACATAAGATCAGAATTTTGGTGTTTATTGAAGGTAAACTAAATGCACAAACAAATACTTACCATGTGGGGATAGTATTATGAGGTTTTTTTCCTGGTTATTCCCTCATAATTTACTATGGAATCACTAACAGGAGAATTTTACTGTCATCATATCATGTGTTTGTCTTTTTAAAGACGAATTACATACTATGATTTTTTTCTGACGGATATTCTTAAGTTAAAGTTGATTTCATGTAATCGAATAAACTATCTTATAAGTAAAGACGTCCCAGGAGCGCAACTCAACAATATTGGCAATATCATTTTAAAGTCGTCTACTTTAAAATGCATTATGTATGTCTGAATTGTCAATATAAATGAGTCAGATAAAATTAAATTATTCGAAGAATTTTTCACTATGTAACAAAAAACAAAAGTTGTTTAATTTACTGTTTGTATTTTGAGAACGATTTCCGAAGTGGAAATTGAAACGTCAATAAACATATTTTTATCTTTAATTGTGGCTTATTTCCAGTTAAATAGTAATTAATTTAAAATGCCACAAGAAAATAGCTTCAGAACAATATTACGGTATTTCCCAGTAACGTTGTGTATATCAAACGTACTACTTAAAATCCTTAAATAGCGATAACTTGGCCAACTTTTTTTTCTAACTGCTTTTTAGGTCAAATAAATTCCTGAGTAAATGCACTATCAATGAATTTGCGTCCTTGATTAATTCTATTCATTAACGAATACATGATACACAGACTCTTAAAAATTATTTCTATATTATTAGTTATTTTATATTTATAGAACAAATTTAATGTTGCTGCAACTCGCTTTTAAACTTTTTTTTTAAATCTATTACAATATATACAGTCCACTTTCAACGTCCGTTTTAGTAAATGTAATGTAGAATATTTAAGTTGATGAGCTTACAAACCGAAGGTTATTTAAATTTTAGAAGATACTTGTAATTGTATTTCTAAACACCATACTTACTTTAACTGTACAAGTTATTTCTCTAATAAATTTTATTTGTACAATTGTTAAACTTGCTTACTTTAAAACATTTACTTATGTTTTAGCAAAATTACTTATAAGAATCAAATTATGTTCAGACAGTTCTATAAAGTTATAATTTAAACTCAATTTTAGCCTTTAGGAAATGCCTCGAATATTCTGATGGAGACCAAAGTTAAAGTTTCTAAATCTGAGAGAGATTACCTAATTGTTGCTGGTGAAAGAAAATCAGGAATTTGTGGGGTAAAGTTTATTTAAGTTCAATGTTTTACAGAGGAAATGGAAAAACGAATTATACAGTGTGTCCATTTGAAAATATAGCACCCTCTATAATTTAATTGCTATAGAAAATCTAAAAATATGCAAAAACACGTCAAATTTATTTGTAAGGGTGACATTTTGTAGACCAGTTTTACTCGATTTTTTAAAAAGTACTGAAAAAAAATATAATGCGTGTGGTATTTTTGAAAAGGTAGTTTTCGACTTTTAAAATAAGGTCTCACTAAACCCCTATTTTTATTAAATATTTTGGGGTTGTGTCAGCTCCCGCTAAAGGATTAAAGTAATTTAGTTGAAAATTTTGCATATTTTTAGATTTTCTATAGGGACCAAATTATATACGGTGGTACCTTTTCAAATTGTCACACTGTATATCATCGATAATACTTAATGTGTTTGTGTGTGTCTGTGTTTGTGTGTATTTAAATATAAATGAATAAAAAATAGAAGACAATAGACCAACAGAATAATATTTATATGAGTTTATTTCAGAAAGATGTAATATGTATCGGTATACAAAAGTTTTATTTTTATATTCTTATGATGTTTAAATAATTTATTATTTTAACGATTAATAAGAATTAGTTTGAAATTTGGGCTTAAACTAAATGGAATAATCTGTGCAAGTAATCTGCAGTTTAACCGTAAGTAGATTTTAACTTACTATAAAAGATTCATCACTAGCGCCATTAACAATATTTCTCCAGTCCCGATTACTGGTTACTGCATCTTTCCATTTTTTTTTTTGGGCGAAGAACTGACCTTCTCCGGAAGATCTTATATTCTCACACTAATAATCTTGTTGTTTTACGCTGATTCAGTGTCCATATCTCACTTCCATACGTTATTATGGGTCGAATTGCAGTTTTAAATACCCTTATTTTAGCATTATTTGATGGCACTAATAGACATTATTTTCTGCCATAATTCCAGCTGATACGTCTTTTTCATAAATATTTTCGGATCTTATCACGGCTCCTAAATATTTAAAATTTTCGACAACTTTAAAATTATATTCATTTATTGAAATGTTATGTATAATTCTTAGTTTGAGTTTTCTTCTTGATTTTTTGGTAACTGCCATATACCTACTTAGTCTTATCGTCGTTGACCTTACGGCCTATTTTCCTGGCCCGCCTTTTAAAAGGGGTAAAAACTTATTTCGCATAACTGGTGGATTATTCAATTGTGTCGACATCATCAGCAAAAGCTAACACTACCCTTGCTCCCTGGACATCGAAGCTATTTGGTAATTCTGGTTGTGCTTTCCTAACTGTGTGTTTTAAACCAAAGTTAAATAACAAAGGGGAAAGTGCATTCTCTTAGGCCCTTTTTAATTCTCGCTTTATAACTCGCTTGACACACATCTGAGCTAATCCCTTCAATTTTTTGATTACTCCGATTTCTACTACCACGTTTCTATTGTTTTTCTTATATTTTGCCATTTCTGGTTTAATGTCAGTTCTGCATTTGGTATCTCTTCTTTCAGCGTCTAAAATCTATTTGGTATTCGCAATTGGTATTCTCGTTCTTTTTCATGTAATTCGAGATTTTGTAAATCCAACTCGTTGCCTAGTGAGTTCTGCTTTGTCTACTTTGTGCTTAACTTTATTCTCATCTTTGTTTTCACTAGGAAGTAATCCAACAAAGTATATAAGTACAACAAATTTCGAACACGTTAACACCACAGGTCCAGATATAATCACAACCAATAATTGATCAAAAATATTACTCCTTTTAAGATAAACTATGTAACAAACATCATCGCAAAGTTCACAGATGCAGCATCCATAGATTTCAACAATGAAGAGTGAGTGGAAACAACCGATAATGAAATGCAAGCGTATACAGCCCCAACCCGGAAGAAAAAACGAAGTTCAGAAAATCCAATAAGAAACTTACGTCAAAAAACATTATCTGATTTTGTTCAGAAAACTAATCTTCATAACTGATTTCAAGCACTTAACGAAGAGAACTTGGAAACCGAACAGACAAGCAACAAAAGTAATGACAAAGACAATACACCCCCACCAATATTTGTTTTCAATGTACTATATGTGAACGAATTTGAAACTGTAATAAACTCTGTTGCTAAAGATGACTATAGTTGTAAAATACTTGGAAATTACCCTAGTTTCACCGAACAAAGAAAGCCACTATTCAAATGTAACAAAAATCTTAACAGAGGAAAAAGTTGAACTCAACACTTATCAATCCAAGCAAGAGCGTAGTTGTAGAGTGGTCCTCAAAAATGTTCACTATTCGATTGATATACTTACGCTAACAGCTGAGATCGAAGGACATGGTCATAAAATTAGAAACATTTCAAATGTCAGACACAGAATTTCAAAAAAAACAATGATTAATGTTCTACATTGATGTTGAACCTAATTTAAACAATAAGGATATTTATGACATCAAAGTTTTGCAAAACATGATGGTCCAGTTTAAAGTTCCACACTTCAAACATAATCTACCACAGTATATGACATGCCAACTTTATAATCACACAAAAATGTGACCAGAGTTACTTTTCTAAAGATTGCATGAAGGATAGACAAACCTCAGAAACTTACACAATATGTAAAGGAACTCATTCCGCAAAATACAAGGTATGAAATGTCTCCAAAGAACTCCAAAAACGCAATTTTCCAGCCCTAAAAGAAGAACAACTACTTAGTCAGCAAGCCACTAGCGTACTACAGCCAATAGTCAACACCAACTATGACAACCAAATTTAACATACATACAGGTAACTCATAGAATACCTGCATCTCAAAAACCCGCAACACAAAATATGCAGATTTATCCAAATAATCAGACTGATATGTATATAATTATAAGTGAACTAGAAAACATTATTACTAGATTAGCAGATAGATTACACGCTTTACGATCCCGTTTGGCGGCACTCGAATCTAGAATCTAAGGCTATTATACTTATACTTTGATGGTATACAAGGCAACTATCGAATACAGTAATTAATTAAATTTTGCCGAAGTACTTTCGATCAATAGATCATCTTCAGGGGCATCTGAAATAAACCAAGAAACGTTTTTTTTATAAAAAAGGAAAATTAATTTACTTGGTTAAAAAACTCCAAGTTTATGGTTGAAAAAAGTTTTTATGTGATAAACGTTTATAGACTTACTTCGTCAGTTGTGGCCTATCCAACGAGAGCAGAATGTCATACATGTAAATTTGGACATAAAAATACAATACACAAAGACAAACAAACACTTTAAAATTTAAAAAAGGAGAAGCTACATGTTATATAGAAGCCGGAGACAGAATGGGCTCCCGGTCTGGCGGAAATATTGAGATGACATGTGACAAATGACAGCTTGTAAAGGGCAGTTATGTGATCTGCACCTTTCAAAATTCTATGAAACTAAGTATTGACCAAAGGTTCAACTGACACCACTATAGGAAATCAACTGATGAAATATAAAATTATATAGTATATTTTTTACGTAGATTGAATAATCCAAATCTCACACTTAAACCTGTCTATAATAATTAGGATGTTAGTTTGAGAGCAATTGAAGTTGTCATAAAGTATGCATGTAAGAAAAGACTAAACAATATATTAGACAGTGGATGGTTGACTACAATAAAATGGTCCACCAAGCGCTATCAGTACTGTAAAAAAGGAAAAATATGAATATGCAGTTAAATTACTAAAAGTTAAAATCAAAATTGAAAGCAAAATATATAAATGGGTTATAATCCAAGTAGTTCAGTTGAATCCACAGTCAATGGAAGAACTTTAAAATTAATATTGAAATGCTCAGTTCTTGAAGTCTAAACAGTCGAGCTGGGTCCTCTACGAGGTGAAGCTGTAATAAAGTTTTTAAATATAGGATTAAATTTAGTACAATTTAAATTAATTTGTGTATTAAGACAGTGAGAGCTTTCATTTGTTTTCCTTGTAATCTCCAAATCTTCCAATAAATCCAACTCAAGATAGTTTTTCTTTCTACTAATGTCATGTAAGATAGATGAACCAGAATTGATGTTAAAATTGTGGTTGCTGGATACTAAGTGTTGACCAAAACTTGAAGAATTTGGTCTTTTCAAATGAAAGCTACATGTTATATCAATGAATCATATAACATGTAGCTTCTCCTTTTTAAAAATTTTAAAATGTTTGTTTGTCTTTGTGTATTGTATTGTTATGTCCAAATTTACATGTATGACATTCTGCTCACGTTGGATAGGCCACAACTGACGAAGTAAGTCTATAAACGTTTATCACATAAAAACTTTTTTCAACCATAAACTTGGAGTTTTTTATCCAAGTGAATTAATTTTCCTTTTTATAAAAAAACGTTTCTTGGCTTATTTCAGATGCCCCTGAAGATGATCTATTGATCGAAAGTACTTCGGCAAGATTTAATTAATTACTGTGTTCGATAGCTGCCTTGTATACCATCAAAGTTTAATTATTCGAACATTCAACCTTATATTGTTGTATTATACTTATATTATGGCTATTATATTAAAAAGTTGTATTTTTAATTGCAAATAAAATTGATATATTGCTTCTTTTCCGGAACGTACTTTACAGGTAAACGTTACTGGAAAATAACAAACTGTAAATTGTATACCACAAATCATCATGATGATACTGCACATGGAGGTTCCACCATAATTATTAAAAGCAGTATAAAACATTACGAATTACAGGCAACTAAACTACCGTACCTACAGACTACGAGCATAGTAATTGAAGATTGGGGTGGGCCAATTAATATAGCATCAATAAACTGCCCTTCCAAGTACACAATGAAAACAAATCAATTTTCTCAATATTTTAAACCTCTTGGATCAAGGTTCCTAGCCAGTGGTGATCACAATGCAAAACATCTTTTTGGGGCCATATATTGACGCACCTACTTTGCTGACAACTACTTCATGCAATTAACATTAATAACCTCAAAAGTTGATCTACAGGTGAACCTACATATTGGCCAATTGACAGAAGAAAACTTCCAGATCTCTTTGATTTCTGTATAATCAAAGGTATAGCAGATTATCACCTACCACCTAAATCAAGCTTCGACTTAACAGTATTTCTGACCGTCTTCTGAAATGATTTATTTACCTAGACCTATAAATCATATGCTTTATTGATCAAAAACCAATTGGTCTTTATTTAAAGAAACCAGTACTAATAACTTAAACATCACTTCTTATGTCTAAAGACAGAAAGTGATCTAGACACTGCTGTGCATCATCTAACTACCTATATACAGAAAACATGCTGGGAATCCACCCCACCACACAATCATAAACCTAATTATTATTTAAATTTCCCATTTCCATTGGGCTCGATACGTTGCCCGAGGACGGAAGATGGACTCGCAAACTAATTACCAAGAGCCGATAAAAGTAGCAGAGAAAGATCACCAACACGATGGCAAGACGACTTACGGAAGACAACAAAAAACTGGGTACAGCCAGCGCAAGATAGAACACTTTAGAGACAAACAGGGGAGGCCTATGTCCAGCAGTGTAGAGGCTGATGATGATTATTTAAATGGGAATAAGCCACAACTAAAGGTCAAAGTACGATTTCCGAAGTTGAAATTGAAACGTCAATAAACGTGCTTTAATCTTTAATTGTGGCTTATTCCAATTTAAATAATAATTACTTTAACATGCCACAAGAAACTACCTTCAGAACAATAATACTAAACCTAACAAGGAGTTCTATGTCTAGGCCAAGCTGTAAAAGATCTGAAAAAATGCTAAGTGATATATTAAAAATACATTAATTGCAAAATACCTAAGAGCGATATCATTCTTAGAAGCCATAGATTACATCCTTTGGAAGGATACCAGAAAATTGTTACGACCATAACAACATATACCACCTATCAAGTAGTAATAGCATTGAGACCTATAAACTTTGGCGTACCTCAAGGTAGTGTGCTTGGACCACTCTTATATCTATTGTATACGGGCAACCTACCAACTTCTGATTAGCGTTCATTAGCAACTTTCAATCAGTTTCCTTATGACACCGTCATCCTCTCATCCAACACAAATTCGATCGAGAATCTAGAAGGTTACATATCCACCCAAACACCATTCAAATGTGTTTAAGAAAATGGCGAATCATGGTTAATGAGAGTAAATCAAACCATGTAACAACTTTAGTATTAGCATTTAGTATTAATTGTTTATTCCTTATTTGTAAATTAATTTAAGTTGGTTAGGGCCCTGAATGAAGAGTATAAATACAGGTCAATTTAATGTTTCCACTTCCTTTTTTTTTTAATAATACCTATATATGTAGGTATGTGCATGCACATGTGTGTGTATTGTGCGCATGTGTATATACTAATTAATATTGTAGCAAACAGTATTTATTATATATCGTGGCTGAATGGATCAAGCAATCCAAAGCCATAAAAAAACTTTTACAACTAAACATCTGACATACTCACCTATACCACTAAACAATCAAAATATAACGCAATATTCTTCTCCTTTTTTGATGTAGACATGACTGTCTGTTTTTCAATATGCCATTGCACCATTTAGTTGGTGCATGCATACAAGTTAGATCTGCCCACTTTCTAACTTTTTAATAAATTGAAAATTGTTGTTAGGTACATTATGACTTATTTGCTTATTGAACGTTTGGTTACTTTTATATTCTAAAAGAATGAGGAATTTGTTTGTATATGTGTTTTTTGTCTAAACACATACAAATATGTTTACATGATAGTAGTAGGTATGTAATGGTGAATATTTAGGATCAAAAATGATCCTAAAATATTATTTTTAAATATACAAAATCTTTTTAAGAGAAATAATTTTCATCTAGTAAAACTTGAAAATATCATTTTGTTATCCATAAAAAACTAATTATTACAATATGTTTTAGGGAGACTCTGGAGGACCTTTAGAATTAGAAGATACCATAGTGGGTATTGTGTCGTACACTAGCGGTCCAGAATGCGAAGAAAGTGGTATACCTGGAAAATATATGAATGTACCCTTCTACCGCACGTGGATAGACAAAACACTAAACTCGTTTTTATAAGCAACTATGTTTCAGATAATAAATAAATCTTATTATTATTATTAAGGTATTTTCCTGCGATATATTTTAAAACTTACTGTTTTTACTAGGAATAGGGCGCAATTATTTTTCGTTAAAATAATTTTATATTTGACATTTCGATTTCCACTTCGGATATTAAATAAATTTTGAGAACGATTCCCGAAGTAGAAATCGAAACGTTAAAAATAAACTTATTTTAAAGTAAAATTGTCGCTTATTCCCATTAAAAATATATCCAATTTTCTCTGGTTATATTAATCCCTATTATATGTATTATATATTATATTATATGTATATACTATATATATATATATATATATATATATATATATATAAAGATATATATATATATATATATATATATATATGTATATAATATATATATATATATAATATATATATATATATATATATATATATATATATTATATATATATATATATATATATATAATTATTTAATTTAAGCTTTGTTTGCCATCTTCCTCTAAGTAGGAGATGCGTTTTGGTTTGTGTTTGGAAAACAATGTGTAGTTCCACATCTACAATAATTTACACTAAGAAATAGTGTCAACGTTAAGGTAATATTAAAAATAACATCTTTAATTATGATGATTGTAAAGAATGTTTTTCCATTACAGCAAGTTCTGATGAAGCCCAAAATTATGTGGCGAAAGCTTGACTTTTAATAAAAGACACTCACTTTGAAGCACCCGTTTTTTATTGCTTCCTTAGTACTTAGTATTGGGTCGTTCCCGGTTACCTTCAACTGTCTATAAATAAATAAATATATATATATATATATTTATATATATTTATATATATATATATATATTTATATATATAAATATATATATATATATATATATATATATATATAAATATAATAAATATAATATATATATATATATATATATATATATATATATATATATATCATATAATATATCATAGCTCTATCAGCTAATAATCAGCTCTATCGGATCACCCCTACAATCACTGGCAAAATTTCTGTTTGAACAGCTACAACCATATGCAGAGAAAACGGATGTTTACGTCAAGAACGCAAGCCACTTTATCGATCGTATCAAGGACGTTATTCTGGAACCTGAACACTTATTAGTGAGCTTTGATGTAGTCTCATTATTCACCAATGTGCCAGTAGAAGAATCGTTAGAAATTATACGTACAAAATATCGAATACCATAGGATACATTAAACCTGACGAGGCACTGCTTAAACAACACTTATATCATCTATGGGTTCACCACTGTCACCCGTAATAGCCAAGCTTTTTATGGAATATATGGAATTAAAAGCAATAAAAACAGCAGAGCATAAACCCAAACTGTGGCTTAGGTATGTTGATGACACATTTATTATCTGGACACATGGAGCAGAGAAGCTTAACGAATTCCTACAACACATTAATAATATCCATCCAAAAATACAATTTACTATGGAACGGGAGAATAACTAACAACTTTCATTTCTAGATGTGTTAGTTATTAAGAAAGAGGACGGAAGCATAGGACACACAGTATACCGAAAACCAACCCATACTGACAGGTACTTACATGCAGACTCACAACATCATCCTGCACAATTAAATTCGGTAATAAAAACCTTAATATCAAGATCCGAGAAACTGGCAGATAAGGAACATAAGAACGAAGAAATGCAAAAAGTCAAAACAGCTCTAAGAAAAAATGGCTTCTCCTTGTCTACGATTGAAAAAGCACAGAAATCTCAAAACAAAATCAAAGATCCAGAAGAAGAAGAAAAACTAATCCGAAAAACTATCATGTCCTATGTAAAGGGTACGACATACAAAATCAGCAGAGTGCTACAAAAAAACAAAATAGAAACTATTTTTAACACTGACAAAAAAATCGCAACCATATTACCATTGGCAAAAACAAAAGTCGCATTGGAAAAAAAGCAAAAAATGCCCTTTTAAAGAATGCATATCCCGAACATCTAATCGAAACTATTTTCAAATCAAGACTCAATAAATTTTATAACAATACAACTAACAATAAACAAAACAGTATCAAAACTACTTACACAAGTCTTCCATATATAAAAGGTTTATCGTAACAACTAACAAATCTTTTGGACAAACATAATATAACAGTGGCCCACAAAGGAAATAACCTCTTAAATAAATATTTCACAAAACTAAAAACACAAACTCCAAAACTTAAAAAATTTCATGTTGTTTACGAGATACCATGTACTAACTGTGAAGGCGTCTATATAGGTCAAACCAGTCAACTGCTTCAATTCAGAATTCGTTCTCACAAATATGACAAGAACAACGTCACTGCGCTCACAAAACATGAAAGTGAAAAGAAGCATAAATTTGATTTTGAAAACATAAAAATTTTTAAAAACAGAACAAAATAAAAGAAGAGGGAGATATACGACTCAACAGAAGTAAAAAGAAATATCAACGCAATAAATGACAAAAAAGATACACAAAAGCTACATAAAATATATTTCAATCTAATTTAAATAATAATAATAAACATCATAAAAAGCTCTTAAAGTCATAACATATCTCCACTTTACCTTTTTCGAAAACATCAATGATACGCCCATATAAAAATAATTATATACTAATGACAGTAAACTATGAGATATCAGATATCAACTTTTATTTGTCAGTTCTTTAATGTCTGTGTCACGTTTTACGTTTTGATAAATCAGATATATATATATATATATATATATATATATATATATATATATATATATATATATATATATATAATTCTTTGGAGGGTAACTTTCGGGAAAGCGTCAAAACAAGGATCAGCTAGAGATGGTATAAGCCAGCTTGGTGTAGAACTTTATTCTATATGTGAAATAAATACAACTTAAGTTTTCAACATCTTTCTTACAGTTCATAGGAGAGCTGCAGTTATGGATGTAGCACATTTCTATGAAGTTTCTCTTAAATTGGTTGTCAACTCTCTTTAGTCCTTGCACATTTTCATAGTTAGCAGTGTGTCCAGTATTCTTAATATGTTGGCTAAAGGCTGTGCTAGTGGGCTTCCTCACAACAAGATGTTGAAAACTTAAGTTGTATTTATTCCTTTCTACTTCAACAGGACTTGACAAGAAGTAACAAACTAGAAAATGTGGGGAACTTATCATGACATGCATAGATTACCTACCTGCGCTTTAGAGGGGACTTCATTTCCTTGCTTATTATGTTGCCTAGGGCTCTTTCTTTTCGTATCCATGTGGTTGTGATGTGCAAAAGTGAAAATTATAACCTCCTTACATATGACACCCGGATGTTGACAGAAATATGTCATCAAAAAAGAAGATTAATTCTTCTTTTCTATTTGTGGTTTTTGTAGGTTGTAAATTTTAGATTTTTTGTTGTGTTTGTATTTGAAAAACTACCCTGTTGTTTGTAATGTTTTTATTCAAAATTTTAAATGTATTTTTTAATATTTTTAACATGTTTGTGACAGTGTTTTTTACAACTAGGACCAACTGAACATTTTCAATGTAGGTTTTTAAATGTTGATTTCCACCACTGTACTATAATAGGTTTTCCATTTAGGTGCTGATGAAGGTGACAACATATCACCGAAAATTTCACATATAGAATAAAGTTCTACACCAAGCTGGCTTATACCATCTCTAGCTGATCCTTGTTTTGACGCTTTCCCGAAAGTTACCCTCCAAAGAATTGTATTCTTAGCGTCGTTACACACACTCTATATATATATATATATATATTATATATATATATATATATATATATATATATATATACATATTTTACAATATCTGTTTGTCCTTATACATATACATTTTAGAATCTTGACAAAGGCAAGGGTTTCCTGCCGAAACGTTGATTGTTATGGAAAATAAAATCTAGTTCCACATATAATATATCTTTATTGAACCTAAACCCAAGAAACACTAATTTTATATTAAATATAATACGGTTCAAGAAACTCACAACTACAATATACATATATATATATATATATATATATATATATATATATACATATATATATATATATATATATATATATATATATATATATATATGTATGTATATATATATATATATATATATATATCGGAAAAAGGAGTACGACCGTCAATCCAATATATCTTAATCTTTTATATCGTAATCTTTTTGCGGTTAGTTCGTTCCTGTTTCATCTAACGCCATTTTCACGGCGACATCCATAAGGCTTTGATCGGTAACTTCATATTCACTATTTTGTAGAATTTTATTAATATTACTTATAATGCTACCTAAAGTTAAAATCAAAGTTTAATATCCATTAAATAGTTGGAGGTTATTTATGATTTTCTTGGTTCTTTCTCACTTATTAACATAAATAACATTGAATTTATTTTGGACCACATGGTCAATTGCTGTGCTAATTTTTGTACAAGTTCATATATGTTGTTAGTTGCTTAACTGTTTATACAAGATCAGCGTACTATGTCCATTTACTTAGTTTCATTCACATATTTGTTAATAACATTGACTGCTACATATCTTTTTAAGGTAACAATTAACATCGTTTCCATGATTGTGTGGTTCTCATATTGTAATAATTTTTTAGATGAACTGATGATGCTTTCAAAACTCGAAAGCGAAACGTCTTCAAAATAGATAAAGTAGCCTATCAACTTTGTCTTTTATTTCTCCACCTAGAGACCGATATAAGAACCCACCACTCGTCTGAGTGATCCTTATATATATATATATATATATATATATATATATATATATATATATATATATATATATATATGTATATATATATATATATATATATATATATATATATATATATATATATATATATGTATATATGTATATATATATATATATATATAAGAGTAAGAAAAAAGAAAAAAAACTGGAAGAAATCTCTCAAATCGCATTATTTCTCACAAAAGTGATTGCAAAATTAAGAAACCATCTTGTGCTTTGGCAGAGCATGTAATAGACAAAGACCATATTATGGATT